ACACACACACACACACACACACACACACACACAGAGCTGTCTAGCAAACAGTAAGAGAAGTCTTTGAGAAGAGCCAGGTTCCCATGTGAATATCTACCCTTTTACGTGGTGACCAATCAGTACAGGGGCCATACGGAGAGGAGGCTCTAATTGGCCAGATGTCTGTAAGGACAGCTACCCAGTAGGGAGAAGCTAATACACAGAAGGAGCAGGGATGATCAGAGAGAAGAAACAAATGGGTTTTAAGCTTGTACTTAATTTGAGTTGGTTTCAGCTTGTTATTTCTAAATTACACTAATAAAAAACAAAACATTAGAATATACTGAATACAAATTACCAAAGCATAAAAATTTTGGAAAAAAAACATTTTAAAACCTACAACATAATATCAATATATTAAACATCATTTAAAATTAGAGAATCTGACTCTTTACCACCACTACCAAAAACAGAATTACCAACAATAAATTACAGAACTCACACACAAATACATACCCACACACACACTATAACAATTGGGTCGCCGGGAAACTCATGATGCATTTTTGCATTGAAAAACATAGAAAAATGTGTCATGACTTTCCCGACAACCCTATATAATAAGTCCTGGAAGATCTCTATCATTTCTCAGGAAGCTTGACTTTGGACTTCTCCAGCCTTCCTTCCTTCCCTGATGTTAAATACAGGTAAGCAGAGTGTTACTGTACCTGTCAGGAGGATGCATGAGTTCTCAGTATCCCAGAGTGCCCATAGACTAATATAAAATGGGTACTGGTGAGTCTGCCAAAGTAATCCTTACCTCTATTTTGGTAAGGAATATCTATTTTAGGCATTATGGAAGGAAGAAGATTGTTTTAGGGCAGAGAAAAGGATAGTTGAGATCAATGATTATTCTACCTAAGTAATGTGGAATTCACTGGCTCCTGGAATGAATTTCTGGCAGTGATGTACACTTGTTTTCTTGGGAACATGTCACGTGGCAGTAGGAATACCAGTCACTTGTCCCATGTCAGTATTCTTTCAGAGGTAAAATGGGCTACATTGAAATAATGACAAGAATAGTGTCTGCGAAAGAGAACCCTTAAAATTCAAACAAACCCACAAATATTTATTGAAAGGGAAAGGAGCTAACATTAAAAACAAAAACTACTACTCAATTACTGGCATAAGAATGGGGCTCACACATGTTATGTCATCTAACCGTCACAGAAATCCTGTGAGAATCTTATCTCTAAATATAGATATACATAAGTAGACCAACAGAGAGGGTAAAGAATTTACCCACGGGCACATAGCTAGTAAATGGCAGAAGACTAGGTTGCAGTAAGCAGTTTGGATTCTGATTCTGTCTGCACCCAAAGTCTGTGTTCCTTCTACCCCATCCAGCTGCCTCTTGTGCCAGGAACTATTGAGAAACAATAGGGAGCCCCTCCTCAGGAAGCTCACTGTCTAATTGAAAAGACAAGACATAACACATATGAGAAGCAATAGTACCAGGCGGTCCCTAAGGGCTCAAGAAATGGCATTCAGGCTAGTTTACATCCAGCTAGGGTAGTCAGCAGATTAAAAAAAAAGTTTGTTTTTTTTAATTTTGGTAAAATATACATAACAAAATTTACTATTTTAATCATATCTAAGTTTACAATTCTATGGCATTAAATACATTCCCATTGTTGTGCAACCATCGCCACCATCCATCTCCAGAATTTTCTGCCCAAACCAAAACTCCCAACCAATTAAACAATAACTCCCCTCCCCTTCTCCTTAGCCCCTGACAACCACCATCCTGCTTTCTGTCTCTATGAATTTGACTACCCTAGGTACCTCATGTAAGAGGAATCATGCAATATTTGTCCTTTCGTGATTGGCTTTTTTCATTTACTGTGTCTTCAAGGTTCATCCATGTCATAACATGTGTCAGAATTCCCTGCCCTTTTTACAGCTGGAAAATATTCTATGTACACACTGCATTATCCTGGTGAGTGAGGGGTACACACTCACCCCTCAATGGACGCAGGGGTTGCTTCCATCTTCTGGCTATTGTGGATAATGCTGCTATAAACATGGGGGTGACAGATGTCTGTCCAAGTCCCCGCTTCCAATTCTTCCCAGAAGTGGAACTGCTGGATCATAGGGTATTTCTATTATTATTTGAGGACTGTCACACTGTTTATATAATAGCTGTACCATTTTACATTTCTACCTGCAGTGCACAAGGTTCCAGTGTCTCCACATCCTCACCAAAACTCCTTTTCCTTTTTGAGTAACAGCCTTGTGATATAGATATAATTCTACATGGAAAGTGAAAACTGTTTTCCACTATGAGAAATGGTGGGAGACTGCACAGTATGACTTGGGCAGAAAAACTTGAGATAAGACCCAAAAAGGTAGATGGAGGCCAGATTATAGAGGCCATCACATGGAATATCACTGAAAACTCAGTCCTTTGGGACTAAACTTTCAAAGTTATTTTTTTTCCCTTAAAATAATTTAGTAAAAGATACAAGCTATGATGATTGGCACAGAACACACCCTTCACATTCACTTTTCCTTTTATTGCACTGATTATTTATCAAAGGAGGAAAAAATGATTCAAGGAAGCAAATGTTAGACGAATAAACACAACCTTACCTTCTGCTAACTTTACAAAGTGCACAAATGAAACATGGAGCCACAAGCCTCCTTGTGTGAATTCCATATTAGAACTCTCTATGAAGATAGGCGATAGAAAAAGACTTTGCAAGCAGTCTCTAAAGGCATCAAATAGCTTTCTTGTCAGAGAAATCCTGGTTTCACACAGCCTTTTCACGTAATTCCCTTGGATTTCCAGATATCGGCCAAGTGTTTTTTTTTAGTTTTTTTTTTTTTAAAGGAATAACATCATCCTAGCCCATCCAAATGCTCCTATCGGAGATAGACATGTCTAAGTGAGCCAAAAACTAGACGTGCTTCTATGCGGAAGCTTGCCACTGTGAGCGAGGTGATGGGAGGACAGGCGGAAAGGAGGGGGAAAGAAGAAAGAAGTGGGGGGGGGAGCGGGAGCTGTACTGCTGTCAGTACACAGCCCAGAGCGCAGGCCCAGCCCCAGATGGTGACATCAGCCTGCAGCTGTGCAAGGACCTTCGTTCTGTTTACCACCCTGGTGTGCCATGTGGAGAACAGCTGGGCTGAAATGATCACTCACACAAAGGGCTTTACTTTGAATTAATTGGCCAGGGCTCCGAGGAAACTCGTGAAATGCCTTTTTAAAGGACACACACATCAATATTGTATTAGGGGTCCTCCAAGTGCTCCTGTTGATGGGACATGCTCTATGGAAGTGGGAACGTCACCCCAGGTTTTACTTATGGAGTTCTCCTTGTACTTATTACAGTTCAGGAGAGATTTCTCATGCAACCTCTGCTTACTCTGACTCCTGTTCTCAGTCTCATCCCTTCCTTGCTTATTCTCCAGAGTTCCACCCCCTTTCAATCAATCAGACAGCCAACAAAGCCCAAAGCAAACAAAATCATTCAGAATTTAGATGTAAGTAATAAGCAAGGAGTTTCCACACACTGTTAGGTGATACTGTTTCCAAGAAGTTATTGCATGAATACAAAATCTACATCATACAAAGTAATCCTTTTGCCCTTGGTGTTTTAATCATTGTAAAAAAGCATGTCTGTGATTAAGGGCACCAAAATGCCACTGCCTGTGGAGGAACTGATGGATTATAACTTTTCTACACATATTGGAAAACCGCAAAAGCTATCTCCCAAGCAATCTACCTTAAAGCGCGAAACACAATTTTCAGAATTAAGACAGACAGAAACCAACTCATTTATAAGATCAGCCCTAAAACATAAGGCCATGTTACAGATTAGAAGTTGACATTTTTCACTCTGAGATGAACCAAGCGTGAGAATTCTAAGCCAATGACAGAATAGGGAAAAACCTAGAGATACTCCCTGACAGTTTAAAACACAGATAACTGAGCAAGGAAAAGACAGAAGTGGTAAAATGCTTGATATTTTTCCCTTTCAAATAATTCTTCAGATGACATCTAGAAAAGGCCCAATGTCACAGTCAAATATAACTTTTGAAAAACCAGGACTGTTCATCCCAGGTCCTTTAGCAGTTATCCCTGAGGAGCTGAAATGGAGTCATTACCTAATTAGCCCTGGCGGGCTTTCTTAAGAGGGGGAGGTCAGATTTTTATTATTTCCATCTCGTACAGACTAATTTCCCTTTGGTGATTGATAAATGTACTGTTTATGAGACAAACATTGCATAACCATGGTCTTAAATTGTTAATTTTCTTTTGAAATACTACAGATTTCTTTATTTTTATATCTGAGTATCATGCTCTATCATGAGACAATCACGAATATTTTAATCCTTAGGAACATAAATAAATGTCTTAATAGAATAGAGCTAGAATATTTAGGTTTCATATCTCAGCCATACCACTGACCAGCTATGTGATTTGAGCAAATGACTTAAACTTTCTCAACCTGCATTTCCTCATTTTTTAAATGGAGATAATATTTTAGTGCCTTCCTTACTGAATTAAAGAAAATAATACCCGTGAAGCACCTGGCCCAGAGCCTGACTGGAGTAAGTATGCAATATATGTCACTGTTATTATTGCTGGCCTTGCAAAAGCCCACCAATTCAAATGTGTTTGACGAGTCCTCAAAGACAGGTTTGGGGTTCCATGATAGAATGTGACAGTTAAAAAGAAGCATTGCTTGTCTAGTATTCGAAGAAGACACACTGCACATACACATGATAGCGTGCTAAGT